TGGTGGTCACTGGGATCCAAAGAGTCCATTATAGAGAAAGGGTGACAGAGTGGAAATGTAGACACACTGGTGCCAAAGACACCTGACTTCAGATTTGATTCAGCTCCCAAGGAGTTCCTTGAGGTATAGACCCCTCAGGACACAGTGACCAGTGAGTTCCCAGCACCCCAACCTGTGAGCTCAGTACAGGTTCAGGGTTAAATGAGTGGAAGATCCTGGTCTCAGGACTCACCAGCTCTGTTTGGGAAACTGCATTCTGCCTTTTTACTCATCATCTCCAAAATGGTAATTAACATCTTGCAGGAGGAGGAGCCAGGGAGCCCTGGCACTGCTGGTGGGAGGGAAAGCAGACCACCTCCCCAGGACACTGAGACCAGCTACAGCCAGACACACACCCCACACACCCGCCCTGGGAGGAATGAATGCGCATGCGCACAGAAGGAAAGGAGGCACCTGGCCCTGAGCTCCCAGCAGCCCCCAATTAACAACTCCCCAAATGTCCACAAAAGAACCAACAAAACGCGTAATGACCTGGTGGGACAGCGACTCACTGATACCCTCAGTAGCAACGAAGCCACCTCCAGCTTCCCACAGCCACAAGGATGAGCCTCATAAACGTAAAATCACGTGAACGTCGCCAGGCACGGAGATGAGAGGGGACATCTCCCAGGGACACGAAGCTGCAAAAACTGCAAAACTGACCCATGACACTCCCGGCCAAGACAGTGGTCACCTGAGGGTGAGGGTCAGCCACCAGGATTGCTTCGGAGCGCTGTCACAGTCTGACTCTAGACCTGGGTCCTGGTTATGGGAGGGGCCTTCAGAACTCCTTGAACTCCTCCTGTGTGCTGCAAGTTTTTCTTGGGTATAATGGAGATTAATAATTTTTAGGATGAACATTTAGCATCAGTTTCCCCCGGAAAGAGTACATGAAAACTCATTTATAATAGGCTCAGCGGGGGTGGGGGGGGGTAGGGGGATGGGAAGTTTTTATCCAATGTCATTTATTCATTGCTAATTACTTGGCTACCGTCTATTCAATTATTAAATATTGATTCCCACAGGGTCCACGGTACAGGCCTCTAATCCCAGCAGCTGGAGGCTGAGGCAAGAGGATTGCAAATTCAAAGCCAGCCTCGGCAACTTAGCCAGGCCCTAAGAACTCAGTGAGACCCTGTCTCTAAATAAGATATAAAAAAGGGCTGGGGGTGTGTCTCAGTGTTTAAGTGCCCGTGGGTTCAATCCCTGGTACCAAAACAAAACAAAAAATTCCCACCTTCCTTCATCCAAGGGTGAAAACAGAGGAAAATAGCCCCCACCCAAAATAATAGTAACGTCCATATTAAGCACTTGGTGTGTGGCTGGAGCTCACCTTGAGCATCTCATTACGCCCTCACAGCAACCCATGGAATACAATGCTGCTGTTGCATTGACGCCTGAGAATGCCAAGGCTCCGAGAATGTCACTTGGCCAAGGTCACACAGAAAATGGCCAGGTGGACAGCCAGATGCTAGAGCTCTCTGGGGATGTGTCTCAGTAGTTAAGTGCCCCTGGGTCCTTAGCCACTGTGAATTCCCCTCCGGCTCCCTTTCCTCCCAACACCCCTTGGTCCCTCCCACCCCCATCCCCCCACACACACACACACCAAGGGGAAAATGATGAAATACGTGCTCAGCTGAACGGAAAGTTCAAACAAGGAAGTATCAACAGCTTAGAGATGAGAATAGGGCCAGAGAACTTCTTGTCTCCATCTTTCAATTCAACCTCCCTAATCTGAAACGGTTGGCCTGCGATTTGCAACCTAAACACCATGATTCCCCTGGACAGCTCCAGGGTTCTTCCTGCTCCTGAGTCAAAGAACAAACACGGGAGGGTAGGGCCAGTGAGGGAGGCTGGTCCCTGGCAAAGGCGGCTTTTGTGTGTTCCTCCTGACCCCTCCTGGGCTGGCTCAGGGCCTTCCTCACGTCGCCTCTTGGGGGTTCTCGAATTTTCTTCTCATTTTAAGGTTCGCGGAGCTGTAAGCTCATCACACTTTCTCCTGGATGCGCTTGTTGAACACGCACCTTGTGATGATGCTGAGGTCCGCAGAAATTCAGCCCCAAATGTTTAGAAGTTTGGTCCAGGCCCCGCCCATCAGTGCCTTGAAACTTCCATGCCCTTACTCTACCCTACACTGGCTCTGTCGGGGCACGAAGTGGGGACAACATTTGTTCCATCAAATTATAACCTCCCATAACCCAGATGGGCATTGTTAGCTCTGGGTCATGGGCGAGGGAGAGGGGAACTGTGAACAAGTCCTGGAGACCCAGTAACAATGTCCTCTGCACTTTTGTCTGCTAAGAGGACAGAGCCCATGGTAACCACTACAATTTTCAAACAAAAAGTAGGAAGAAAAGGAAGAGAGGGGAAGTATCTTGCCCAGACCCACAAGCTGGTCCTGGGCTGAGCCGGGTCTGGAACTCAGAGCTGCCGGATGTCCCAGCCCAGGGGAGGGCTCCAGATCAGGGGCAGGGGCTTTCTGAACCAGAGACTGACATGCAAACTTGCCCTGAGGAGCACAGAGGCTGGACAGCCCCGAATGACAGTCGGACTTCACCTCTGCCCAGCTGGGCAGGCCAGTGCCCTCCCCGAGCCTCGGTTTCTCCCCAGGATCATCACAGATGCTCCGAAGCTTCAGCACCGCTCTCCGCGTCTGCTCCTATGGTGGCAGGTTTGCAGGTCAAGAGCTGCTTTCCTAGTTCAAGACTTGAGCCTCTCCTCCCCTCTCTTTCTCCATCTGCAAAGTCTCCAAAGGCCCAGGTGCAGGAGACAAGTGCCCGAGGCTTCTTTGGGGGAAGAGCAGCAGGAAGAGGCAGGGGAGAGACCAGGATGCAGCAGGATTCCTCAGGCCTGGGAACCTGGAGAGAATTTTCCAGAACATACAAATGGGAAGCATGAGAGAATGGACTTCACCACTGTGGGCAGCCACAATGGTCAGCAGTGTGGGGATAGGACATTCATCACTCCGCCCAGTTAGAAGGAAAAGGACCAACTGTGAACACCGTGCCCCATGTCAACTGGGCGACTCTGGACACATCAGTCTCGCACTCTGAGACCCATTTCCCCCACGTAAAAGCTCACTTCCCACTTCAACCAGGGCTGTGTGTCCCTGGCATGTGGCAAAAACTCACAAGTGTTAGCCATTGGCATTATTCTTTTTTCGAACATTCACTCTTTTTATTTACTTTTTATTTTTTTAGTTGCAGACAGACACAATACCTTTATTTTATTTATTTGTGTTTATGTGGTGCTAAGGATCAAACCCAGGACCTCACACATGCAAGGCAAATGCTCTACCACTGAGCTACAACCCCAGCCCCCTGTTGGCATTTTTAATTGCTGTTATTTTCCAGTGAGTTGAGGTCTAACTGTGCTCTCTGGGTCACGTGTCCCCACTGGGTCTCAGTTTCTCCCTCCCAAAAGGAGGAACAGTCACCTCCCCCTCCCAGGTTCTGATGAGGATGTGCAATTACATGACCATCAGGCACCAGGGGCTCAGAAAATGGAAGACCCCCAGGCAGGAGCGGAGAGACCCCCAGAGATGGAGAAGTCTGATGCAGTTTGACACTTGACATTGCAGGAGTAGAAAGAGCTCTCCAATTAGAGAAAAAGAGTCAGACTAGTGAAGGAGAGGGGACAAGAGATGACACGGGTGTCCCATCCTGGGCTCTAACTGGCTGCCCTGTCTGGAGCTCCAAACATGATCTTCCAGGTCACCTGGGAGCGTGGGTCCCCAACCTCTGCTGCGTGAATGAAACCACGAAGTCTTGAGTAACAGCCCATCTCAAGTTTTTCTGTTTAACTTGTGAACCAAATTACTTAACTGACCCACCTGCTAATGTGATTGGCAATTATTTGTTTTGGAGAGCCCTGAAAGACACAACCACACTGAAGAATTCTAAACTATCTTGAAACCCATCATCCAATCTCCCATTTCCTGATCCCCAAGCTATAAAAGAGGCTGCTCCCCTGGCAGAAGCACCCAGGAGAGGAAGAGGAGACCAAGACACTGCTGAGACTTTGAGAAACCCAGGTGAGACGTGTCCCTTCACTGTCCCCCACTGCTCTGGGTGACAAGGATGCCAGCTTCCTCACTGTGGGACAGAAACTGGCAGACTGCACTTAGGGTCATTTTGAGGGGATCTTAGAAACAGAACTGGCCAAGGTCATGGGCTGGGAATGGCCACTTCCCTAGGAGACCAGCAAGGCTGACGTGGAAATCAGGCTCCAACACCCTCAGCCAGGAGCTCCAGGGCAGGAATTTGACTTGGGGTTGTCAGTGTGGCCCGGTGACTTCCGATATTAGGTGACTTGCAAGGGTATCCACAAACCAGACCAAAGAGCCATCCGCTTAGCAGGGAGGTGACAAAGCAGTTCGGTGCTCCAGTCACTGGCAAATTGAAGTCTCATTTGCTTGGTCTGAAGAGCAGGAACTGGGCTGCGGAGGCTCCGAGGCAGAGCGCTCTCCTAGCGAGGACGAGGCCCTGGGTTCCATCCCAGCCCTGCAGAAAGGTCGGTGGAATTCCTCAGAGGAGGTGGAACTAGGGACTCCTTAAGTGAGCCCAGCTGCTGAGTAAATCTGATGGTCACTTAAATAGAGGCTTCGAGGTCAGGCAGAGCTGCTTCAAACCCACTCTCTATTGTAAACCCGTAACCTTGGGGTCCTTGGGGGAAGTTACCTGTGGTCACTAGGTCTGTGTATCCTCACCTGTGCAGGTGATAGGGACCCATGTCTCAGGAGATGCTGAAGATGAAATCGGTCACCCAGGGTACAGTCATCCACCTGTCGCCTGGCACAGAGAAAACGCCCAGCAGTCTAGCCATTAGTGCTGATCACCTCCGGGTGCTCTAGGGAGGAGATGAATGAGAACCCCAACCACTAGGGGAATAGGGCAGGTCTCGGACAGATTCTCCTCATATTTGTGCCACGTTGAACTCATTCTGTCCACAGATACCTAGAGATGTTTCCCACTGGGGCCCTCGTTGTCTTCTGTGGGCTGCTGGCCCACGCCACAGCCCAGCTCGCAGGCCTGCCCGTGCCCCTGGACCCGATTCTGCCTTTGGATCAGTCTCCAGCCCTGCCTTCAAATCCCCAGGATCTTGCTGGCAGCTTGACAGGGGGTAAGTCTGTGACAGCTTCTGTCAGAGGTGTGTACGTACATGTGTGTGCGTGTGTGCACAGGTGTGCATAAACAACCCCCCATCTGTTAGGAGAAGGTGCACAGATGAACAGGGGAGAGGGACTGAGGGCCTGGAGATGACAGATGACAGAGGTGCCCTCAGAGGCCCTTCTACTCATTTCCAGCTCTCAGCAAAGGCCTGCTCTCCGGGGGTCTGCTGGACATTCTGGAAAACCTCCCGCTTCTGGACATCCTGAAGACTGAAGGGGGCACTTCCGGTGGCCTGGTTGGAGGCTTACTTGGGAAACTGACTTCCTCTCTCCCCATCCTGAACAACATCCTCTCGTGAGTTGACCTACAATACTGCCCTGGTCCCCAGAAGCAGCTGAGATCTGCCAGCCCCCGGTGGCAGCCCTGAGGAAGGGGGCGGTGGCCTGAGCCTGGAGCCAGGACTCAGTCTGGCAGGGACACTGGCCCTCTTCTCCAGTCCCTGAAGCATGTCCTGGGGCTCCAGAACCATCTACAGTCCTCAGGACAACCCTTCAAGGTCAGCTTAATGATGCCCAGTTCTCAGATGGGGACACTGAGCACAGGGACAGGCCTGTGCTCACTCAACGAGATGCAGAGCAAGGAATGTCACTCTAACCTCCTGAGTCCAGGGCCCAGCCCTTTTCCTCTGCACCACTGCCATCTCCTCCCTCCCCCACTGAGAACACAGCGGCCTTTGATGGAGGCAGGAGAACATCAGCTCCCGCCTCCAAGGTGTCATCAGTGACACTATCAGAGCCAGGCGGTGTCTGTGGAAAGTTCTGAAGTGGTGCTTCCCATGGGACGCCCCAGAGCTCACTGAGCCAGAAGCAAGCACTAGGGTGTCTGTGAGCGGCCACAGCCTGGGCCTGGGTGGGATTGGGTCAAAGCCATTGCCAAGGATCTGGCTCTGGCTCCCTGACTGGCAGAGAGACAGACTTACGTTTGAGTGATTCAGGCCCATAGACGTTGGTGCAGACTTACCACTATTCCCACCATCCATCCATCCATCCGTCCGTCCATCCATCTGTCCAGCCAAGCTTTCCTTCATTTGACCCCTTCCTCTGCCATCCACCCACCCGCATATCCATCCACCCACCTTCCCATCCACCCACAAGGGCAGCCCCTTCCTTGGTAAGTCCCTGAGCTGGCACACAATAGGCCACCAACCCAGACACAGTCCCCTCCTGGACGACCTCATAGACCTGAGACGAAGAGGGCGTCATACATGTCAGGATCCAGTCTTGGCAGAGGCTGGGAGAAGTGCTGTGAGGCTCAGCACCCGTGTGGCTCTGGCTGCAAGACACCCACGTTGTCTTCCGTGGTCCTGGTGGGCAGCTCCTCCTCCCCTTGGATGGTCTCTGGGGTTGAAGGTGGTGTCCAGGTTTGAGGCTCGAGGAGCTGATGTTTCTCCCTCCGATGTTGCACCCTGGACAGCATCAAGGTCACCAATCCCCAGCTGTTGGAACTCGGTCTTGTCCAGACCCCTGATGGCCATCGCCTCTATGTCACCATCCCTCTGGGATTGATACTTAAAGTGAATACGTGAGTAGGTCCCCAGGGTGGAAGGAATGGTGGCTCAGCAAGGGAGATCTGAGGTCTCTGGGGAGGCACCAGGGGGTGGGAGTGCAACGACCTGAGCCTCCGTCTGCAGCTCAATTGCCACTCTGCCGAGCAACCTTGGGTGCCGAGGGAACTCACTTGACCTCTGTGAGCCTTGGGTCTCCTGGGGGAAGTGAGCTGCGTGCACCTGTGGGCAAGGTGGGGTCAGGTGTGGCTCACGTGTCTGAAAAGGGGAAAAACCACCTGCACCATGGAATGTGGCGGCCAGATGCCATCAGGGTTCCCTCTTCACCAGGGGCCTGGTGGGAAGTCTGCTGGAGCTGGACGTGAAGCTCAACATCACTGCGGAACTCTTGGTTGAGAGAGACAGTGAGGGGAAGAGCCACCTGGTGCTTGGTGACTGCACCCATTCCCCTGGCAGCCTGCGGATCTCCCTGCTTAACGGGTAAGGCCGAGGGCTGACTCTCTGCCCCCGAGGAACAGAGTGGAATGGTGGGTGGATGGATGGAAAGATGGAATGATGGGAAAATGGAAGAGGAAGAGGATGGAAGGGACGATGCATAACCAGATTGTGGGGATATGGTGGGTGGGTGGAGGAGGGGGTGGGTGGGTGGTTGGGTGATGAATGGATGACTAACAGAGGGATGGATGGTTAGATGGTTAAACGTGTGGAGGGAAGGATGGATGGATGGATATGTGTGGACAGATGTATGGACAGATTAATAAGTAAATAGAAGGGTAAAGTTTTCACTTATTCTTGTTAGGCCACCATGACTAATTTGATGTTGGATTTGGCAACAAGATGTCTGAGTTTAAGCCCCAGCTATGACAGGGCTGAGGGGAGGTGAAGGGCCTCTGAACTTGAATGGTCTTCTCCTGCGTGGCTGTGGCTTGCTTATCCGTAACATAGAACTACACGGTCACTGATCAAGCCCCCAAGACATCAGGAGTGAAGTGTTGGGTCCCTTAAGGGGGAAACAGACATGAAGCCTCACTAGGGTGCTGGTTTCAATCCCCTGTCACCTGGGAAGGCTGAGATCATACCCAACAGGCAGGAGTCATGGCCCCATGGCCAAGGTCTTCACATGCCATCTCAGGAGTCCTCCTAGCTCCTCACAGAGCATGGGTCATATTTTGATGTCCTGTGGAACATCTGCCCTGTCCTGGGGCTGTGGGCTCCTCCCCCTGGTGCCTGTGTGTGCAGAGCGTGGCTCCCTCTGGGTAGGACCCTGGCTGCACATGGGGTGAGGGGACAGGCCTGGTCTGATGCTGACACTGTGTCCCTCTCAAGAGTTTTCCAGGTCCACCCTGGGCTCCTGAGTCAAACCCACAGCTTCTCTCTTCCAGAATCGCTTCCCTCCCCATTCAAGACCTTGTGGACAACCTCACGGGCATCTTGAATAAAGTCCTTCCTGAGCTGGTGCAGGGCAAGGTAGGTGGGCTGGGCTGGGGGCTCCCCTGATCCGTCGGCCTCAGAGATTCTCAGGCTGAGAGAGTCCTGGGGTGAGCTACCTGAGTCCCTCAGTTTGAGAAGTAATTCCACCCGTGCATCAGTCTGTCGGTTGCTACATCTGTCCATGGTTCTTTCCGTCCCTCCAAATGCCTCGGTGGGCTGCAGTGCGGTCCAGGCCCCGTGCCTGTCCACACTGCAGCTGAACTGGGTCGGCCCTGCCTGAGAAGCCCCACCAGCCCTCCATGGCTGCAGACCAGAGGTCTTCCAGGCTAGACTCAGGTGTCTCCTAGGGCCAGAAACCGCCTTCCAGAACCTTCCACAGAGGCAAAGTCACAGAGTGAACGTGCCTCAGCGAGAGATTCAGGCCCCTTCCCAATGTCCCTCATGCCTTTAGTTTCTCCTTCTGCCTAGAGTGCCTGAGACATTCGTCCCCACACCTGCTCAGAATCAAACGCTTAGACACAGAGAAGTGACGGAAACCTTCCCCAGAGAACCCCCAATAGAGACGATGATGCTCCCTGGTGTCCCACGGGTGCCCCTTTGCTAACTCCCCTCTCTGCCTGGCTCAGGTGTGCCCTCTGGTCAACGACGTTCTCAAACTCTTGGATGTCACCCTGGTGCATGATATTCTTAGTAAGTGGTGCTTCCAAGCTCTCTCCCCCTCTGCAAGAGCAGCCATGTCCCCAGGGGTTTTGTCCCTGCACACCACAGGGCAGCTCGGGCCTCTGCTTCCACCTTACCTTGCTTTTGTTTTCTTTGTTTCCCTGAAGTATCCCGAAAGTTTTGAGGTAGAAAGCCTATCCTCCTTGGCCCTGACACTGAGACTAGCTGGACTGTCCAGTAGATGGGGGCCTGTCCCTCTTCTTGCTGGCCCAAGCATGGCCTAGAGTCCAGAACTCCCACTTGCTGGCCCTGCAGCTCAAGAGGAACATGGCTCTTCCGGGACTCCTGCACCTCACGACCATGGCTGTAGACTGTTCTTTTGATGGGTTGTTTGTTTTTCATTATCTAGACAAGCTGATCAATGGACTGGAATTTGTCATCAAGGTCTAAGCCTTGCAGGACGGACCCTGGTCTCTGCTCTGCTGGTTAGTATGGCTCCCTGCCCCACAGGATCTGGGACAGCCTGTTACTCTGCTGGTAGGAGGCAACATGACATCTACATTAGTCAGCTGTCAATCACTGTCATGAAATGTCTGAATTAATTAACTTATAGAGACAAAAGGTTTGTTTGGGCCCACAGTTTGTTTCCAGTCCATGATTGATGGGCGACCCTTGTCACGGTGAGGCAGTGCCTCGTGGTGGGAGCATGTGATGGAGCAGATGCTCACCTCATCAGGCACAAAGCACAAAAGAAAGAGCAAGAACTGAGCATACACATCCAGAATCACCACATGCAAGTCCACTTGAGCTCATGGACACACACTCTCAAATGCATGATCCAGCCTGGGCTACCCTTGTGACTGAGGCCAAGCCGCTAGCTCCAGGGTCTCGGCCTCCGCCTATCCCCCTGGAGGGCCATTTGATGTTGGATCAATACCAATAAGACCTTGTTGGGCGAGTGGCACAAGCCTGTAATCCAGCAGCTTGAGAGGCCGAGGCAGGAGGATCACAAGTTCAAAGCCAGTCTCAGCAAAAGCAAGGCACTCAACAACTCAGTGAGGCCCTATCTCTAAAGAAAATACAAAATAGCATTGGGGACGTTGCTCAGTGGTCCAGCGCCCCTGAGTTCAATCCCCCGCACCAACCCCCCCAAAAAGAGTCCATGACCTTGAGTCTACCTGCTGATTGGGCTCTTCTCCCCACAGACCCACTTCTTGCTGCAGTCTACCAGCTCCTGCCCAGGACAGGGAAGGCTGGCCCCACGTCCTTGAAAATGACAAGGCTGCCTCGTCCCTGGGAGCCTGCGCCCCCTCCTCCCCCCAGGTGTGCGGAACCTCCCCTGCTCCCCACCAAATAAAACCGCTCCTCTTCTGCACCAGGGCGTCTTGTGCTGCTTCAGCATCATGTGAGGGCTCCTGGCTGGGACGGGCCCTGACCTGGGTGGCTGGGGACAGTAAGGTATGGGCCCTGAGGGGTCAACAGGCCAGACCCAGGCAGTGTCTAGTTCTCGGTAATGTCTCTGGTTTTCTTTGGGAACAATTTCTTTTCTTTGAACCATCTGGACCCACTGGCCCGAATCTCCAGATTGAGGCTCATCCTTGACCTCAACAGCTTCAGGGTCCCTGGGCCAGCCCACTCCTGCAGCTGAAGTGGACTTTCATGTCTCCCATCTGTGTATCCAGCAGGTGATTGCCGCTGCCTGTTGGTGCAGCTGGCGTGATCACAGGAGTTCCACGCTGTTCCACGTTCAAAGACCCTTTGCTCTGAGCATCCACGAGGGGCCAACATCTGCCCCTCCTAGGGAACAAACTGCCACCAAAGTCCTCCCCTCCACAGGGACCCTGTGGGAGTCCAGTCATTGGGGTGCCATTCTCCTGACCAGGTAGCTAAGCTGACCCGATGGCCTGAGTCAGTGACCAGCAACAAGAGTGGGGGGTCGGGGGCGCACAGCCATTGCCCCGCACACAGTGCCGCACATTGGGAAAACATCCAGGTCCTGCCTCGGTCATGGCCTGATGGCTGCTGTGGCCCAGTGGGACCCAGAGACCTTTAGCTCTGCAAAACCGTCGAAAGTCAGGTTGCATCGTCAAATCTTGCCCCCTTGTGGCTCAGCCCCTCTGGCAAACCCGCTGTTTGTTCACAGAGCCTCACTAGACCCTGGTCCTGGCTGGGCCGGTCTCAGATGCCTCATTTCCATCTGGTGACGGATGGCGTCTGTTGAACGTGTCCAATATTATTGTGGCATCTGTAAGCACCCAATGCCAGCAACTCAGGAACTAACAGTACATGTGGCACCCCAGCCCCAGACTGTCGCCCCACCAGCGCCCAGTGGTACGCAGGGGTTACCATTCAATAGGGGAGCTCTCGGCAGACACCTTGACAACTTGTGTGTCCCAAAGCCAATAGGCTGATGCACCCCAGTTGGGATTTCCTGTTGCCACGGAAACCAGAAACCATGCACGGAGGTCATGGACACCTGTGGTATCACTGGGCCAGCTCCTAAGGTCCCAGAGACAGTGCCTGGGCCATGACGGGGTGAATGCCTCCCGAGGCCTGTGACGCAAGGCTCCCATCCAAAACTGGCTGCTTTGCAGGTCACTTGAATAAGGGGCCTGAAGGAACCCCAGGTGGAGCACACACTGCCCCTGCTCCCCATAGGAGCCCACCAGCTCATGGGCCTCCTTCATGATCAGTGGGTGTCACCAAGGCCAAAGGTATCTGCTTCCCTATAGCTGGCATGCACCTCTGGCTTCCTGTCCAGGGGGCCTCCAGGAATCACCCTGTTGTGGGAGTCTAGAGTTTATTGGGTCTACTGCCCTTGTGAGTGCCTGTCATTGTGTCAGCGACAAGCCCAGAGTCACCTCCACTGGTTTTTTGAGCTGCCCTACTCTCAGAATGTCATCTATGCAATGGATGACCAGAATGTCCTGCCTCTGGGGCTTGCTGAAGGTCATGCCCACCTGCTGGTGGCTTGCTGCAGGGGCACTGAGGCTCCCTGCAGATGCATTCAGTGCCCTGTGAGCGCACACTGGCCTTGATCTCCAGCCCTCCAAGGGATAGAGGAAAAGGTATCAGCCAATTCAGGGACAGCCTCCCCATCTCTGGGTGGAGAGCCACTGCCTGAGGGACAGGGAGGACATCTGGCACCCCAGGGGCCAAGGGCAGCACCTCAGCACTCAGTCTGCAGAGCCCACTGGCAGCTCTGGGCCCTGGAGGCCTGTGGGGCTGGCCAGGCCCGACTGTCCATGGGACAAGGTGGTCTGTAACAGCCCTGCTGCAGCCAGTGCCCAGTTGACAAAGTGACACCCCCTGGACCACCCGGTCTGCAGGACTGCTTTCTGTTGACAGCCCACGGGTGTTTGGGTGCCTTGGGTGTCAGGCCAAAGAGCACCCGTCCCACTGTGTGGCTCACATTCTTAGCTCTTCAGGGACATACCTCCTCAGGAGGTGGTGACATTCTGTGCCACAAGCAGCCAATGGGAACCATGGTCACCAGCACCCAAAATGGCCCAAGGGGCCCTCACACAAGCATAATCACCATTAGCAGAAAAACACTTTAGGTCACACTGCATTTGTCCCCAAATGCCCCCAATGTCATCAGTTTAGTTTTTCCCCTAATATTTTCCCCAAAATATTGTCGTGTAAGCACCAGCATCCAAAAGCCCCAGGAAGTCTGAATTCCCTGGATTCCCTTTTCATCCCAACAGGGGCACAGGGCCACTGGTCTCTGTGGGACCCTAAGGCCTCAGTCCTGTTGTAGGACAGATGGAGGTAGACAGTAAGGAATTAGCAGGAAGCGGGTTTACTGGCTGCAGCTAAGCTCAGAGGCAGGGCTTTCCACCACCATCAGTCAATCCCTGTGAACCCCAAGTTCAGAAAGTTTCAGAACTTTATACCCAGTGTGTAGAGGAGGGGCTCAGAGGCTCACAACCTGCAGACATCTGCATGAAAGCAGTTTTTTTCTATTATTCTGGGCAGTCAACCAGGCCTGGATACAAAATCAAGGACACTCTGAAAATCAGTGCCTGGGAAAGGGAGAGTTCTCCCCTTCCTTCTCACCAGCTGGCCTCCAAGGACCTGATAGTGTCCTTTGAAATGCAAACCCCTCTGTGCAGAAGGCCTTGGGTTAGTTGTACTTTGTTTCTGTAAACACCTCCCCTCTCACCCCCACCCACCCCAACCACCCCCACCCAACCCCCACCCCCACTTGAAAATTCTTCTGCAGAAATTTTTCCTGAGTATCTAAGAACAATTATGGTGAGGGTTTCTGGAGAAGCTTAATTAAGATTTTCTGTGGAGGAGAGGAGGGGTGCCACTACAATTCCCCCCTTTCAGGATGCTCCCCATAATTTGATCTTTTAAATTAAAGAGCATTATTATCATCCTTTAGGCTTAAAGGCTAATATCATGCCAATGCATTAGTTGTTGTCCTATTTTACCAACTGTTTCTATACTGGATCTAAAGTTTTAATGCACAAACATGGAGCAACAAACAGGTTAACAGCAGAATGAATACCCATTACACCAATTAAGCTTTTAAATTTACCAAAAGTTGAAAACCATCCTGCAAACAGAGAGTTTGGATCCCAAGCTTTAATGCCTTCCAGGTTTGAACTGGCATATGGGCTAGGTTTCTTATGTGGTTGGCTTTAACGGCTTGTCCATAATCATCTATTTGCATGCAACAGTGTGAGCTGTTGAATTTTCATATATATTTCCCTCCTTAGCCAGTAGGTAATCTAATGCCAAGTGGTTTTGATAGATAGCTGCTCACATCTGGGCCTGTTGCGTGGCTTGGAGGTCAAAGGCTGTGGCAGTCTGGTTAATAATAATTTTCAGTCCAGCTTGTAAGTGAATAATGCTGTTTAGCATGTACATAGGCGTTCTATAGCCCCAACTGTCATCTTGTGCCCAGGTAGCAGGATCATAAGTAGCAATAATCCTCTGGGGTGGCCAGTCATCTTCACCCCAACACTGTGGACCTCCTAGATTAAGTTCTTTTCCAATGGACCTCTTTTTCCGCTTTAGAGATGAACAGTCATTCACCTGTAGCATCTTCCTGGTAGGACAGGTCCTAAATATATGTTTGTTTTTTTTTTAACCATCTCTTGGTTATAATAGATTGGCTTGACATATAGTTAACATGATTTTCATCAATGAGACAGAAGTGGGGGAGAGTCCCCTTAAGACAGTTAAAGGCAACCAACTTATATAATAGACCCACATATAGGTTAAACAGTGCACTTTAACAATTTCAAACTGAAAACACCAAACCAACCCTAGAAAACCTCTATAAGAAAAGTCAAAAAAGTATAAGGGAAAGTTTGTTACCAAGAGTCAGTCAGTGGGAGTTACTGTTACCAAACCAGTAGCAACAGATCTGTCTGTATGGCTAGAAGGGCGGGGTGGCAATGCCTTACAGCATGAGCACTATCTGAGAGGTGGAGGGG